TTTTCGGGAAATCGTTCATCTCTAAAGCGATAGTTTCACTGTTTCAAAAAGGTAAAGACTTAAAATATCTTTTCAAGTAACTTTCTTGGCTGTCCTGCCCGTATCTCCCCTTGTCGGATAGCTGTTCACCCGACTCATCGTCCAGGGAGTGCTGACAGCTCAGATGGAAAGTTCTGGCAGGTGCCATGCCTCGCACGCACCTGAGCCGCCGTCGTTGTTTCGGGTGCGCGCCCACGTCAGAGTGCGCGAGAGGAGCCAGGCCAAGCAGGACGTTACCCAGGAAGCGTGCGACTTGTTTCAGGCTGCTGCGCACTCTGTTTCTCATCAGTGTTATCAGGAAACGTTCTCGGGCCTTTGGGCCTACAATCCCTGACTCTCCAGGAGAGAGGTGTCCCCCAGCCCCGGAAACTGCTCATTCAGGCTTGATTTTCTTTTTTTAAACCTCTGATTTGGCCCCAAATAGGTCCCCTCTGTGGGGAAGTCATTAAATGCCCTGCAGTAGAAGGAACGCTGACCTCCCTATATTTCTGCAGAAGAAGTTTGGAGATAGAAGCTTATCATTAACTAATTGTCACACGGGTTACGTACGTTAACAGTTAACACTTCCCATGGGTGCAGTGCTGCACGTACAGTTTAGGCTGTGACACAAACAGATGGAAATCAAGAGTTACGGCATGTGACTGAACAGCTTACTGAGTTTTACTGGCCCACTTAATTTCAAGCGGTATTTCATCTGTCATTGTGAGACAGGTACTGATTTATGGGTTACACACTTTGTAAGCATTGCACTTTACTGCAGTGACCCAGCTGAGGTGAGGGGGGCTCCGGCCTGTGAACACACCGTCTGAATCCGTTAACAGCCCGCGTAGTCACGTTTCCTTCTGGAAGTGCATCTGGTCTGGATGCCCTGGGGGCTTTTCTGTTCTCGAGTCTTTCTCTGTCTGCTCTTTGGCGAGACGCAAAAGCAGCAAGATGTTAAGGCAGAAACCTTTCCATCGCAAGCACGTGTAGATGTGATGTCTCTCTCCGTGACAGCTGCGGTCACACGGAGGCGAGATGGAGGAGATGTCCCCGCAGCCCTGCCCCTGGCGGGCACAAGCTCAGGGTTGCTCTTCGGACTCGGTGACTGGATGGGTCATCGGGTCCACGGATGGAAAAAGCGTTGAAGGAAGTATGGCAGACGGGGGCTGAGGAAGCATTTATTTGAATAAAGAATGAGGCCATTGTGAGCTGCTGGGTGAGAGCTGCAAAACTGGAAACTTCGGAGAAGTGGACTGAGCAGTGGTTTAGGGAACTCGTCCAGGGAAACGTGTAGACCGTGATAGTGTGAAAACTGGTTCGAACCTGGGGAGGGTGCTGGCTGGTGTTGGGTGGGTGTTAGGCCACCCGAGCTGGGGCGTGGGGCCCTCCCTGGGCGCAGCTGCTTACCATCCACGGCCAAGGTGGGCGAGGGAGATAACTGACCTTGGGGCTGAAGATAAAAGAAGGGCATCAGAAAGGAGGACTGGAGCCACATTAACAATGAAACAACTTAAGACACGTGTGCTCTGTGCAGAAACGGAATGGAACAAAGAGAACAAAGGCCTCTGTGTCCACAGTATGGATCTGGGACTTTTTTGGAAGATGTTAAGCATATTTCTGATTCTGACCCCTTCGGTGGTATGTGAGGCTTCAGACAGACCAAAGTTATTTGTCTGCTGTTCTGAAATGGTGCCAAGCCTGGTTTGCAGCAAAACCGAACTTGAACAGACATGAAACTCTTGATGAACTTTATTTATCCCACTTCCTGGGATGACAGGGTCCTGTCTCACACTTGCTGGGGGCAGCATAGGGTGCTTTGCGTGTTCTGCATTTTGTTCTCTACATTTTGAGGAGTTCTGCCTTCTGAAGCAAATCTTTTTTCTTTTTATAAAGTTTATTTTTGAGAGAGAGAGAGAGAGAGCACGCATACGTGCATCTAAGAGAGAGAGAGGGAGAGAGAGAATCCCAAGCAGGCTCTGTGCTGCCAGTGCAGAGCCTGATGCAGGGCTCAGACCCTCGAAATGTGAGATCATGACCTGAACTGAAATCAGGAGTCAGATGCTTGACGAACTGAGACCCCCCCCCCCCGCCCCGGCGCCCCTGAAGCAAATCTGACCCAGGGAGGTAGGCATAAGGGATTATGGTCTTGTATTTCATTAAAATAATGCTTTTCGGGTCAATGACAGCAGAGTCGAACTTCTTCGCTCGAAACCATCGTTTCTTTGCTAGCTCAGGGAATAAGCAAATGTAAAACTGCTTTCAAAACTGCCCATCTTGTTCCCTGCTCCCTTCACTCCCTCCCAGCCTTTGTTACGTTGGGGGCTGTGGTGCTTGCTTAAGGGGGGACACAGATGTGGGGTGCGGTTAGAGATGTCAGTGTTTGGCAAATTTTGGAGAATGTGGGCTCCCCCCAGCAGTGTTTTCTCCCCTGTGGGGTGGTAGGTTGAGATAGGTTAGAAGAAAAAAAAAAAAGCACAAGCTCTCATGAATTCAGTGGAAAAGAGAAGAAAAGGTGAGAAGGAGACAGGAAGGGAAGTTTACGCCCTAAAAATTGTGGCACTGTAACGTGTCTGTTCAGTGTTTGGGTGAGAAGGGAGACACCGGGGTGGGTGGGGGTGGGGTGGGGGTCAGCACAGTGCCGGCCAGTAGGCCTGGGTCAGCTTCCAAGCCTCATTCAGCTTTGCTAGGGTTGTGACCCTGGCCACTTACACTTCTCTGAGCCTGTTATCTCTGAAGTGAGGGAAATGAGACCCATCTCTTCCATTATGGTTACTAGTTAGGGGGTCTCATGTTACCCCAGATCTTCATTATCAGACTCTGATAGGATACAATGAAATGCCATAGAGGGTATAAAAAGACACCTCTGGGGGCACCTGGGGGCTCAGTCTGTTAAGCATCTGACTTCAGCTCAGGTTCGTGAGTTTGAGCCCTGTATCGGGCTCTGTGCTGACAACTCAGAGCCTGGATCTTCTTCGGATTCTGTGTCTCCCTCTCTCTCTGCCCCTCTGCTGTTCACACCCTGTCTCTGTCTGTCTCAAAAATAAACATAAAAAAAAAAAAAAAAAAAGACAGTTCTGGTTTGGGGCAAAGAAGCAAGAGAGAAAATTAGGTCTTGGGTAGCTGAGGTTAGCTTCACATCAGAAGTGGAAATTATGGGGATATCCAAGGTGCTTTTAGGTTTTTTGATAGCTGGATGATTGCTGTGTCATGTCCTTGAATTTTACGTATTTCCTACTGAAGGTAGATTGTAGAATTAGGACTGGGGAAAGTTTGGATTTTATAATGGATTTGGTTAGAATATTTCTTTATGTTCTCAATATATACTAGCATATACCTTTAGCTTTAGGAAAGCCTCATTAATACATACAAAGCACGAAGTTGGTGAATTCGACAAACCCGTATCACTAAGGATATAATAGTACTACTACTACTACTAATGATAATAATAATAAACACTGGCCACCACCACTCTCTCTGGGCCCATGTGCGATTCTGGGCAGCGACAAGCTTCATTCACAGAAGGTCTGAGGATTTTAAGGAATATATGAGCTTCAGACAATAAGAACAAAACCCATCAACCATTGCTTGATCTCATCTGGCATTTTCCAGCTTTTTTAGCTTCCCAGAGACCCAGCTTCCTTGTGGCCTCTCCCCACATGCCCCTCCGCCTTGGATGCTAACGTGGTCTGGGCTTCGCATGATGAGATCCCTTATAAACCACGCAGGGTAGGAGTTTGTGTTTTGTTTTTTTGTTTTAAATCCAAACCGAGAGCGTCTGTTGTTAATAACATATATAGTTTCGTGTGTTTGCATTTGGATCTTAAATCCATCTTGAATTACTTTGGTGCAGAGAACACTGTTTTCATTCAGGCATTATGTTTGCTTATTACTTATTGCTGAGTGTTCAGCCGTTGAAGACTGACAGCCTTCCAGGCAACAGAACTAAATCATCAACAAAAAGACTCTGAGTTTCGCATTCTCGTGAGCAGGTACAGATGGCCCTTAAAAAAACCCAAAGGCACAGGCATCTTAATCCATTCTATTAGTAAATAATTAGATTCTGTGAAATGCACTAGTTTTAGGAGTTTTTACCATATTTATACACTCGTGTAACCTTCACCCTGGTCAAGGTATAGAACATTTCCATTACCGCATTGTCTCCTGATGCCCCTCTGCGGGCAGAGCCTCTCAACTTTCTCAGCTGAGTTAGGTTTCCAACCCAGGTGTCCTGGCTTCAGAGCCTGGCTCCTTGACCACTGTAACCGCATTGCTGACGGGTCTTTTCTGTACGTTTACTGGATGGTGGCGCATCTGGTAAATTCACATGGTTGTCGATGAGTTAATTGTTTACTTCTGATCGATTTATAGGCTGGAGCTAATTTGGTACCATCATCATTTATCCTGAAGCCTAGGTATCTTCTTTCATCCTACTTTTTTCTTGACTTGCCACATCTAGTAAGTAGTCAGGTACTTGTAAAATGTTCCTTACTTCTGTTGGGCTTTGCCTTCTGATGTTACCGGGAAAGGGGTTATTAACTCATTAAAGCATATTATTCATTATTTGGTGTTTGGTTTAGTTATATAATTAAAAAATTTTTTTTAATGTTTATTTTTTGAGAGAGAGACAGAGCGTGAATTGGGGAGGGGCAGGGAGAGAGGGGCACACAGAATCCTTAGCAGGCTCCAGGCTCCGAGCTGTCAGCACAGAGCCCAATGTGGGGCTCGAACTCATGCACTATGAGATCATGACCTGAGACGAAGTTGGATGCTTAACCAACTGAGCCCCCCAGGCACTCCCCAAGTTATATAATTTTTAAATAGTAGAAATGTTTTTATTAACGAGATTTATAGTTATCGATGATCATTTCTTGTTCTTTATGCCTTAGGCAAATGGGGTGACTCTGCTGCTACTTTTTATATGTGTAATCGTACAATGCTGAATTACAGAGGTTTTGTGATACAAGTGTTTTCTTTTCTAGGACTTTTCCAGATTTCTCAGAACAAAGTGGCAGTTCTCCTTCTGGCTGGCGGGCAGGGGACGAGACTCGGTGTTGCATATCCCAAGGGAATGTATGATGTTGGTTTGCCCTCTCATAAGACGCTCTTTCAGATTCAAGCAGAGCGCATCCTGAAGCTTCAGCAGTTAGCTGAAAAATATCATGGCAACAAATGTATCATCCCGTGGTAAGCTCTGCATCATTACAAGAGTGTGTGGCCATGTATCGATCTATAATATTCAAAACACATGTATACTTTATTCATAAGCAGGCATGTTTCCTGTTACTAATGATTTTCCCAGGAGCTGTGATTTACTATCTAAAAGGAATCTGTACTTTAACTAGATAGGTGATCACTGTAGCCTTCATGCACAATATATATTCACCCCCGACTTTTACATCCCTACTTGAGATCCCTGCAATGAGAACTTTTGGAGGTTCATTGGGTTTTCTCAGTGTGGAAACGTGATACTGATTGGTAGTTTGACTATGTGTAAGTTTCTTTAAAGAGTTTTTTTTTTTTTTAAGTTTATTTATTTATTTTGAGAGAGAGCGAGCGAGCACAAGCAAAGGAGGGACAGAGAGAGAGAGGGAGACACAGAATCTGAAGCAGGCTCCAGGCTCTGAGCTGTCAACACAGAGCCCAACGCGGGGCTTGAACCCACAAACTGTAAGGTCATGACCTGAGCTGAAGTCAGAGGCCTAAATGACTGAGCCACCCAGGTGCCCTGCTATGTATAAATATTTAATTGAAAATCAGTTTCCCTCAGAAATTTGAAGGCATTGCTCTGCTGTTTCCACCATTGTTGACAGCCATTCTGTTTCCCAGTCTCTCCTGCCCTCCCCCACCAGCATCTAAGGTCTCTTCTTATCTTTGGCATCTGAAATTTCACGATGACATGATACGAATCTGTTTTTAGTCACTGCTCTGCTCACGGAGTTGTCACAGTCTAGAAACTCCTGTCCTCAAGTACCAGGTTATCGAGCTCTCCCCACAGCCCGCCCTTCCCACACACGCCCTCTGAGAGCCCTGCTGACTTCCCTGCTGGGGCCTCCACTGGGGTCCCAGGGTCTGCTGGCACGCTGTGTTTTCCGGGCTCCCCCCGGCCATTGCCGGTGCCCTGAGCACCAAGGCACTATGGGAAATTCTGCTCTGCTTTGTAAAAGTTTTTGATTCAGTTCTTAAATCTCTTTCCCAGAGCAGCTTTGGAAATTGTATTTTGAGGGGGAAACCAGCTGTGTGTTTGAGCTCCCACAGGTCCCTAATCTTGTTATTTTAGCCCCATGTGACCCAACGAAAGCTCTGTTGGTCTTTCTGTCCTTCCGCCCGGTCCAGGCTGGAATTCCTGCCACCAGCCTGTATCTCAGGTCAGCCAGCTACCCCCAGGAGAAGGCAGCCGAGTATCCTTAGCCCCTCTGAAAGATGCCCACTGTCTGGAATTTTAGTTCCAATCCATGGTGCTTCTGTAGCTCTGTGAGGCCTTTAAAAATAGGCTGTTTGTAAATTTCCCCGCTTTGCTAGCTCTTCTCAGCATGAGCACTGGCGTGCCACAGACTGTTCTTTCCATCCTGATTCCTTCGGGGATTTTTGTGGGATGTCTGTGTTTTGAGCAGCCAATATTTTCTTTACGGCCCTGGTTCCCACTGTCATGTTGGATTTTTCTTCCCTCTTCCTCACAACTCAGAATCTCTGTGCTTTTCTGTTGCAGAGCAGTTTAGCCAGCTCTTTGTAGCAGTCAAAGTTCAAAATACCCAGGATAATTTGTTAGACAGATACCTGGTATGGCGGGACATTATACCATTTTCTCTATTTATTCATTCAGCAGATAGTGCGTACCTCCTTTGAGGTACTGGGGATACATCAGCAACCAAAACAGACAAAAATCCCTACTTATGTGTGGTTTACATTCTAGTAAGGGCAAACAAAAGCTACTCTAGTCGCTAGTTGTGGTTTTAGAGGAGAATCTTTTCCCCCTTTGCTGTACTAGCGTGGGCTGGATTTTTGTGAGAACAGAAAGAGCATAATTACACTTTTATGATTTTAAATGGAGGGTGAGCAGAGCCCAAATTACATTTTAAAACTCTAGTAAAAAGAACCATAAGAGATCATTAGAATATATTTCCCCTTTTCTCCCTATTTATTTACAATAGGAGTTTTAAGTTTAGAATACACCTTTCACAGAATTCTAAAATGTTTGTTTAAGCCAGTTACAGGCTTTCTGTTGCGGGAGGTACATTTAATATTGTTACATAGATGTGTCTTATATGTAGGGGTTGATGAAGTTCTTGAAAGTTCCTCATGGGTCGCAGCTAGTGCTACCTTATCCAGGCAGTGGATGAACAAAGAGCAGTGTGCTCAATGAGTTCTTTTAGCTTCGAAAACAGACAAGATTGAACTGTGCCCTGATTCACATGGTCTCAGAAGGTCTGCTTTTCTCTCACAAGGTATATAATGACCAGTGGCAGAACAATGGAATCGACAAAGGAATTCTTCACAAAGCACAAGTACTTTGGTTTAAAAAAAGAGAATGTCATCTTTTTTCAGCAGGGAATGCTCCCTGCCATGAGTTTTGATGGGAAGATTATTTTGGAAGACAAGAACAAGATTTCCATGGCACCAGGTGTGTAAGCATGCTTACTTGAGGGCGACTGGAAACGGTACTAACAGAGATCATTGTGTTATGGTCTTCCTCTCTCTCTTTTTTTTTAGTTTTATGTTTTAATGTTTATTCATTTTTGAGAAAGAGAGAGGGAGAGAGAGACAGAGCATGAGCAGGGGGAGGGACAGAGAGAGAGGGAGACACAGAATCAGAAGCAGGCTCCAGGCTCCGAGCTTTCAGCACAGAGCCTGATGCAGGGCTTGAACCCACGGACCATGAGATCATGACCTGAGCCAAAGTCAGATGCTTAACCAACGAAGCCACCCAGTTGCCCCAGTGATTTGGATGTTAGAAAATTAATATTTAATTAATATTTAAAATTGTGTTACAATTTGGTAATTTAAGAAAACTGAAAATACCCCTGGGGTGACATGGACACGCTTTCACACTGCAGCTGTCTGCCCGCGAGAATGACTCTGCCAGCTTGCAGGGCACGCGGTACCTTCGCCCGGTATTTACATCAGCGGGGTTCGTGGCTCTGTTCCTTTTCAGTGAAAGACCGGAAGCCATTTGCTGTTTAATAAGTAAGAGGCTAAATCGTCATTTCTCTGTAGTAATAATTCTCAAACTGATAAAACACCTGTGTGGAGGTCCCAAATGACACAGAGAGGTAGATTCGGAGGTTAAGTGAGACCATGGGAAGCGCGAGGCTGCACGCTCAGTATGTCTGGGGCCACCACCCTGGACGCGTGCAGGTGGTGCGCGCACACCCCAGCGTGCTGGAGGACCCTAGACCCCGGCAGCGCCCTGCCAGTGTAGACACCTGCAGCGACCCTGACTGTGAGCCTAGCTAGAAAAATAACCGTGTTGACAGATTCATATGTATGTGAATCTTTGCTTGGAGGAAAAGCCGAAAGAAGATAAATACAGTGTTAACAGTGGTCGTCTCCATTACAGGCTTTTATTTCATCTTAATGTTCTTTTTCCTTCTTCCCATTATAGAAGACTTTATTTTTAACTCTATTTTTGTGAAGTCCAATTAAAAAAAATTTATTTAAAAATTTTTTAATGTTTATTTTTGAGAGAGAGAGAGAAAGAGAGCGAGTGCGGGGGAAGGGCAGAGAGAGAGAATCTGAAGAAGGCTCCAGGCTCTGAGCCCAATGCAGGGCTCGAACTCACAAACCATGAGATCGTGACCTGAGCCAAAGTTGGATGCTTAACTGACTGAGCCACCCAGGTGCCCCAGAGTTGTCCCAATTTTATAAGCTGAGGCTGAGGGTGTCAATGGAAGAAGTACGTAAAGCAGCACTGTGAATAGATGGGAAAAGAATAGGCTTTTACCTATATTTATTTTAAATCTGAACTTCATATTAACCTGGTCTCCTAACAAGTTATTTGGTATAAAATGCTTATGTGCCTGGAGCCTGTTTCAGATTCTGTATCTCCCTCTCTCTCTATCTCTCTCTCTCTCTCTGACCCTCCCCTGCTCATGCTATCTCTCTCTCTCTCTCTCTCTCAGAAATAAATAAACCATTTTTAAAAATTAAAAAAAAATAAAAATAAAAAATAAAATGCTCATGTATTTTTATTTTTGATATGGGGGAAGTTGTTAGTGGTGGCCCTGTACATACAAATATTAGTAAAACTTGGGGCGCCCGGGTCGCTCAGTCGGTTAAGCATCCGACTTTGGCTTAGGTCACGATCTCACTTTGTGGGTTTGAGCCCCACGTTGGGCTGTGTGCTGACAGCTCAGAATCTGGATCCTACTTTGGTTTCTGAGTCTCTCTTTCTCCCTCTCTCTCCGCCCCTCTCCTGCTCATACTCTGTCTGTCTCTCTCTCTCTCTCAAAAATTAAAAAAAAAAACATTAAAAAAATAAAAAAAATCCCAAATATTAGTAAAACTTGAAAAGTTATGAAAGAATCATCACTTGATAAATACTTTATATTTCACAACGTGTTGTAGGTTTAAAAGGGCTGAGTTAGGAAAGTATAGTCTTTGGGTTGCCTGGTCCTACATTAATAATGTTATTCCTTCGATATTTCTGCTAAATTACTTTTGGAGTCCTGTAGTCTGCTATTTTGACACTCCCCATTCTTCCTTCTGGATACATACTCTCCTTGACCCTGTGATGTAAAGCTGCTTTTTGGAGCTCAGCACCCCAGTTTGACAGCATTAACCCGGGGAACAATTTCGGGTTACTTTCTTAATGGGTTTTGGTGTGCTCATAATGGGCTGTCTTATTTCCCAGACGGGAATGGTGGTCTTTATCGGGCTCTCGCAGCCCAGAATATTGTGGAAGACATGGAGCGACGGGGCATTTGGAGCATTCACGTCTACTGTGTCGACAACATCCTAGTGAAAGTGGCAGACCCCCGGTTCATTGGCTTCTGTATCCAGAAAGGAGCAGACTGTGGTGCAAAGGTAACGCCTTTCTCAGCCACAGCGAGGCTCTAAGTGGATGTTCTGTGTCAGAGTACGTACTCCAGGACTCAAACTAGAATTGTTAAGGTGATCGGAATATTTTAGAACCATTTCTCTCTCACAAGTAACTAAATAATTTATTCCCCCACCTACTTTTTCTCTTACATTGGCCGCATTTGACTCTAGAAATAATGTTCTGTGCTTGTGTGAGGATGGTTACCCAGGTTTGTTGTACCCAGAAAAGTGAACAATCATCGCTAGGCCTGGGGTGGATTCATTAATACCAAGTTGTATTTGGGGCGCCTGGGTGGCTCTGTTGGTTAAGCCTCCGACTTTGACTCAGGTCATGATCTCCTGATTCGTGTGTTTGAGTCCCGTGGGTTGGAGCCTGCTTCTGATTCTCTGTCTCCCTCTCTCTCTGCCCCTCCCCTTCTCTCTCTTTCTCTCTCTCCCTCTCAAAAATAAACTAACATTAAATTTTTTTTTTTAAATATCAAGTTGTTCTGATGAGATTAACCTGCTTTCTTCCTATGAGAAAGTTGCTGGAGTCGGAGGTAAGGGAAGTGTGGTGGGAAGAGCAGATGTAGATTTCAGCAGGGCATTTCACAAGGTACCTCCTGATAACCTTCTGACTAAAATGGAAATGTGCAGATAGGGCCATGAAGGAGATTGTTACTGGTTAGCAGCCACCAACATAACCTACCAGTATTAAGATAGAGGGGAAAATGAGGAAGGTCTGTAACGCCAGGAGATGGGACTGACCCTGCCATATTCTTCTCCACGTTGTTTTAGTTGTCCAGGTGATGATATAGGAGACTTGCCTTTATGGTAGTGAACACAACGTGCAGTGTATCTAGGAAAAAACAGAGTACATGAAAACGCTTCAGAAGATCTAAAAATATTAATATAAATACTGTTTTTCTGGAAATCTGTAAAAGTATCAGTTGTCACCAAGTTAAAGAATAACACAGTTTCGGTCAGAGTCCCAGTGAGACTGTTTGGGGGACACTCAACAAAATGATCGTGAAGTTTAGAAAAAACACGTAAAGATGGCCAGCAAAGTGCTGAGGAAAGGTGAGAAGGAGGGAGGAGGGTTGGAGATAGTCTACCAGGTATTAAAATCGGTTGTAAATAAAAAATAGTAAGGAATGTAGTATTGAAACCAGAGTAGAATGATGGGTTGATGGAACAGAATAGAATGGTAAGAAATCAATCCATGTACGTGTAAGAACGCTCTGTATAGGGGCGCCTGGGTGGCTCAGTCGGTTAAGCATCCAACTCAGGTCATGATCTCACGGTTCGTGGGTTCGAGCCCCGTGTCGGGCTCTGTGCTGACAGCTAGCTCAGAGCCTGGAGCCTGCTTCACGTTCTGTAGCTCCCTCTCTCTCTGACCCTCCTCTGCTCATGCTGTCTCTCTCTCTCTCAGAAATAAATAAAATACTTTAAAAAAAAAAAAAGAACGCTCGGTATAAACACGTAGCATTTCCAAGTCGGTGGGGGAAATAGAGGAGACAACTGGCTGAAAATAGAGTAAAATCTCTCCCTCAAAGCTCATACTGAAATCAATTTCAAATACATTACGTAATTAAATATATATATATATATATATATATATATATATATATATATATAAAACCCATAAAGATGTTAGAAGGAAAAAATATTGACACGAAGGGAAGACCTTTCTGCCCAAAGCAAAAACCATATAATACAGGCTTCTGACACAGATTAGGCTAGATATAAATTTGAAATATTTGGATTTAAAAAGCATACTATAAAAGCATGCCATAGCCTTGGTTGGAGGTTTTCTGTTATAAAGATGTCATTTCGCTTAACCTTGGTCTGTAAATCTAATGCAAAGTCATAAAAGCTGAAGTTTTAGATTTTCCACTGCAGGTTTTGAGAGATTAAACTGTAGAGCCAGTAGGACTCTTCTAGACTCTGAAAGTGAAAAGTTGGTTTCGTTATTTAAGACCCCTCTCTGTTCTAATACTCTGTGAGTATCTGCACTGTATCGTAAATGGTTATTAAATTGTAATAGAAACAGGACATTTTAAGTAGCTGAGCCTTAAAAAAACAAAAAACAAAAAAACAAAAACCAAACTAGACTGTATTTCTGACTTCACTCCGCTTGGTGTCACTCTTCGTTCTAAAACAGAAACTTTCATTTTACTACTCTGAGCTTCAAGTCCATTTAAATTCTATATGATCCGAGTGGTGAACCTGGAAAGAACCTCAGAGATCATCTAGTCAACCCGTTTGATCTCAGAAATGAGCACCCTGAGTTCCAGACTCAAGGTCCTTCAACCCATTAACAGGAACAGGATTAGAATTCATGTTTCTCAACTCCTAGTTTTAGTATTTTTTTCACATCGTAAAACCAGGCTCTTTAGATTGATTGCATTTTTGCTGACAGCCGGAAAAACTTGAAAGTAGATGTGCTACCATTTGTGAGTGTTCTGGTCACACAGAGATACGAGTGTAACCCGTCCCTCTACACCACCACCTGGGGGTCCTCCAGGATTCTCAAGTCTTCCTGCTCTGTTCTGCATCTGGCACATAATGCAGAAGTCCCCCAGTGAGCAAATATGTAGTCAGATGGAGTCCAATTGTGACAATGCTGGTGTTTGTTAAAAACTTGTAGAAATGGTAGAAACCGTTTATGTAATCTGCCCTCCCACCCTTTTTATTTTAATTGAAAAACCAAGATATCAAAACATATTTTTAAGAACACCTGAATTAGGGAGTTATTCATAGTGTGGTAGTAGAATTCTTTTCATTACTTCTTTAAAAGGCTTCTGTCTTTGTAAATTAAGGAATTCAGTATTTTTCATGGAGTGAGAGCCTTGAGAAGAGGCTTAGAGCACTGGTTCGCAGAAGTACAGAGCTAACAGGGCAGGAACCATTGTTTTTTTTTTTTTTTTTAGTTTTTATTTATTTTTGAGAGAAGTCAGAGTGTGAGCAGGGGAGGGGCAGGGAGAGAGGGAGACACAGAATCCAAAGCAGGCTCCAGGCTCTGAGCTGTCAGCTCAGAGCCCGATGCGGGGTTCACTCAGGAACAGTGAGATTCTGACCTGAGCTGAAGTCATATGCTTAACTAACTGAGCCCCCCAGGCATCCTAGGCAGAAACCATTGTTAATTGAAGGTCACTATGTAGAACATTTATAGTAACTTTGAGCTTGAAGTGATGTTTTGAACTCAAGCTTTTCCGGATTTACCTTGGAGAAAATCAGGCAAACTTCTTAATTTTGTACTGTATAACTTTCTGTATGATGCAGACTGACTTCTGGTTTACAAATGCGTTCTTCTGTGATCAAGACCTTTATAATATTCAGAGGGTCAGAGTTGTAGAGGTACATCTTCCACTGACAGATTAACACTTGGGAACTGTGAAGTGTGAATGTGCTCAGGTTGTTTTCCACGGCTGGTCAGGAGTAGGGGCGTATAGAGGTGACTGGAAAGTGTGTGTGTGAGTGAGTGTGTGTGCGCGCGCGCGTGTGCGTGTGTGTGTAAATGGGAGAGCGCGGACTCTATTCCAAATTCCGTGTCTAGGGAGGCCCTCCCACTGTGGAGGGGGTGAGGGGTGAGGGCTTGATGGACTGGAATTGCAAATAGGCATGTGATTGATGAAATTATTTTGTTGTGTGTTTCCCCCCAGTTCAATCCGTTTCCTTGGGAGCAAGTTCCTTTTTACTGAACAGTGTGCCCCTTTAGGGTGGCGGACAGTGAAACCACACAGCGGACTTCGTCCTGCAGCCCTTCCTCCCCAAGCTAGACCCCTGCGCCCATCCCTCTAATTGCTGTGTAAACTAGTCCTCAGGAGTGGCTTTCATTGCCTGGAGGAGACTGCCGCTGGCCGGGTGTATTTTAAGAAATCAATTGTGGAGGAAAAGCTTTCACTTCATTGGCAGGATGTCACGTAGGCTTAGGGTGGACTTTGCAGCCTGGGGACAGATTTTTCCAGCTAGTCCGAAGCTGCTGGATGGTTAGTTGAACAGGGCAGACAGCAGTGTCTTTAAATGCTCTTTATTGTTTGATTCTTCCCTTGGGTATTCAGCTCATCTGAGTCTTGATTTTATTTAGCGTGTCGCATGCAGTTCTTTCGTAGTTTTCGTCTGAACACTTACTTTAAGTCAGTGGTGGGTTGGGTTCGGGTGGTGGGGTATCAGAATTGCCTGTGAGGATTTTGGGGTTTTTTTGTTTTTCAATGACATCATCTACATTTCCTGTGATTTTGGTGTACACCCTTCTGTCAGCTTTCCCCAGCCTGGAGCCCTTAATAGATGATCAAACTTTTTTTAAAGCGTAGAATCAACTTCAGACAAAGTCTGACATGCAAAATAGATAAATATTGGGTGGGTTTTTCTGATTGAAGTTGGAACAGATCCCCGCCACCTGCCTGCCCTAGCGCCCCCTCCCTCCTCGCCGTGTCCTGGAAAAACGAGGAACACATTGCATTCATGAGTGAAAAGAAAAGGAGCACCATCTTCAAATGAAATACTGACGGTACAGAATGAGAGACAAAATGCCTTACTTTTGTGTTAAAGAAATTTTATTTCATTTATTCTCAAAGTCCAGTTGAGTGTCATTAAGGGTAAATTAATTAAAATAAGGTACTTGGGGGGAAGTAGACTCCTCATTTAATGATTCCCAGCCAAGTGTGATTTCCTCTGGGCTCGGTGTGTATGACAGCATTTCTGTTCAATGGTTTAGTTGGGTGATAAGCAGGAAGGAGACCATTTACTGCATTTCCAATTCGACAGTAGTCTATCAAAGAGCATAAAGGTGGTTGGTGGCTATCTGCAGTTAAAGATTCCTTCTGACATAATGCCTTAAAGACAATACAAGCAAAACCGTAGATGTGGCTTTTGCAAGTGGCAAATCTCCAACGTAGCATTTGATTATATTCCTTCCCCCGCTTGCTGTCTTTCTCTGGGCAGGTGGTGGAGAAAACGAACCCTACGGAGCCAGTGGGCGTGGTCTGCAGGGTGGATGGAGTCTACCAGGTGGTGGAGTACAGCGAGATCTCTCTGGCCACGGCTCAAAAACGGAGCCCCGACGGGCGACTGCTGTTCAACGCGGGGAACATTGCCAACCACTTCTTCACTGTACCGTTTCTGAGAGATGTTGTCAAGTATGAGATGGGGGCTTTAGAAGTGTCGTCTTTATCGTTAATCAGGAACTAAGTCACTTGAGAAGGGGCCAGGCGGCCCAAGTCCGTATTCTATGGGATTCATCTCCCCCACGGATCAGCTTTCTCGAGTGGAAATTTATCTCACGTTGTCGTTTCCACATGACAGGGTACAGGCTGGTGGGAGCCTGGCCGCCCTGCATCCACCGAAGCACAGTTTCTGGTGCCAGATGCAGGTCATCTGTGGTCTTGAAAGGCTGCCCACACGGGTTTAGCTGGCTCCCAGACGGGCATTTACGAACCAGTAAAGGAAGAAACCTCAGGTCTGGGTGGAAGTGAGCATGCCGGGATAAAGGCATAAAATAACAGCTACTTTAATCGGCTGGTGGTCTGTGAAGGGAAGGACGTCCTCGCCCCCTGCTTCTTCACCTGTTAGATTTTAGACACTCATGACGATGGCTTGCTTTTCGAGAAGTTACTTAGCTGTACTTGAGAGTGTTGACTCCAGTTCCAGAGCCTCTCCCGTCCCACCCGCTGTTAGTCGCTGTGTCGGTAGTTCGTCCACAGTAACCGTGAACCCTCATCTTCCCGTCCCACACTTCGGGGGCTCTCGGTTGTGAAAGGTGGGGAGAAAGAACAGAACCTTTTGTGGAAGACACCGAAGTTGTGGGAGAGGCGGTGGGAGCTGTGTGGTGTGTGTTTTCTAACGATGAGATCGTTACTAGATTCTTTTAAAATTAACGAGGGGAACGGGACTCTGTCCATTTAATATTTAACTGTGAATCCAAGCATCACACATGCATTTCACTTTGACAGTCTAAGCAGGGGTCGTGGATGCATTTGGCCCTGCATGTGATTATCAGATTTTCTGGCATTTTAACTTTGGAAAGTGATTATCTCTCTTTTTTTTTTCTTTTTCTTTTTTCCTACTCAGTATTTATGAACCTCAGTTGCAGCACCATGTGGCTCAGAAGAAGATTCCGTACGTGGATTCCCAGGGGCAGTTAATTAAGCCAGACAAACCAAATGGAATAAAGATGGAAAAATTCGTCTTTGACATCTTCCAGTTTGCAAAGTACGTTTTGAGCGGCACCAGGAAGAGTGGCTACAGGCCTTGAAATGTTGCCTTTCAGTCTGTCAGGCAGGGCACTGCTTTTAGCAAACACTCGGGAGCGTGTGTGTGAGGTGTGGCGTTTTGACCGTGGGCATCCTGTCTGGGTTCATTATCATTGTCTAATGTAAAACCACCAGCCCGACAGTATCGGCTGAGTCGCCCATGAGTTTGTGTTCTTTACTCTGGTTAGTCCATCGTCTGCTTCTCCTGCAAAATGGTTAAATTTTGTTAAAATTGTCACTTACTTTGGCTAAGAGACTCGAAAGGTTGAGCTAGAGAATTGGCCCAGTTTGTGTGTAGGCCGCTGTCCTACTGACCTCTGAGGACATGTTTCAGAGAACACGACTTTTGATTCTCTAGGTCTCCATCAAAGATCCCGTTCGAGGTTGAGGTGTGCGGCTCAGAATTTGGCCAGGGTGAAAACGCAGAAGACGAATTAGCTGTGGAAGCTTCATTTCCCCTGTGCACTTCTAAGCCTCCTCTTTTGTCTCCCCCCCACCCCCCACCCCCAGAACAGATACCGATGGGGTTTTGCATTAAGATTTCCGACCTTTCTGACTTAAGATGAAGTGTTTGGCAGTTTGGGGTGAAAATAATTCGTCATTTTGCACTGGAGAAAAGAATTCCAGCTTTAGTCTGGGGACAGGTGTGATTTCCTTCTGCGTTCATCTGAAATCGGGTGAAGATTGGCCGTTGCCGAGGGCCGGGGCTTAGCCGCGTAGGGACAGCTCAGAGCTGGGTTTGCAGTTTTAAACTTTGTGATAAAGGGGCTCCTGTACGGCTCCACTGCAGGAAGTTTGTGGTGTACGAAGTGCTCCGTGAAGATGAGTTTTCCCCCCTCAAGAACGCGGACAGTCAGAACGGGAAGGACAATCCTACCACCGCGCGGCACGCCCTGCTGTCCCTCCATCACTGCTGGGTCCTCAACGCCGGGGGCCACTTCATCGACGAAAACGGCTCTCGCCTCCCAGCCATTCCCCGGTAAGTCCGTGTCTGATCTCTGGTGCGTAGATGCTCCCTGGACTCCGTCTCCTTGGGCCTCTCTTCTCTCCCTCTGTTGTGGTCCTAGATCTTTTTTCAGAACGCAGAGCTTTGACGTGGGTAGCTGGGCCGCTTTTGCCCACTGCAGAGAGTGATCACTTTGCTTCCCGTTAAAGAGGATACGCCTCTGAATCTCGTCTTGGACACGCGTCCACCGTGTCCATGTAGGACTCTTGGTGAAGGGCGGTCGGGAGGGAGTCCGGTCAGTGTGCCGCATGGGCAAAGCCTGCCAGGGTGCCCCGCACCGCAGCGTGAGAGGCTCATGTGCCCGGGGCCTCACTCCCAGTGCCATCTGTGAGACCCCCACCCCCCCACTCCCCGCCAGAGACCTGCCACCCACGTGCGACCTGGGAGAAGCAGGCCCGCTGCTCTTCGGACCGCAGCTCCCTCAGAGTTGCTGGGGGAGGCGCCAGGAAGGGGAGCGAAGCGAATGGCACTGGCATTCGCTGATTCTCAGACCTTAGAAATGTTTTGGGATTTTAAAAGTTAAAAAAAAGAAGGCACTTCTAGCTATTGAAGTCTAAGAGAAAGCCCTTTTAAGCTGGCGCCAAGAATTACTGCCTCCGAAATCATTTGATATTTACTCGCTCACGTAAAGAATAGTCTGCCATGTAACTTCCGTTCTTGGAGGATAAGTGGCCCCGGCTGCAGCCTCAGAAGCACTAGACGCTTCTGGGGGCCCCTGGAACATCCGCCAACTGCCTGGTCTGGGAGCCTGCTTTTACGGGCAGGCGCCGGGGTGAGCTGTGTCGTAGCCCCGAGCCACCATCAGGCTCTGTCTCGTCAACAGGTTTGCTCTGTGGTGTGTCAGGTTGTCTTTCGTGCTTCATCGCTGGCCGTGGAGTTCATTTTTTTTTTTACCTCTTCCGATTTCCTTTGCCACATTTATACGTTACCATAAATACATGCCTTTCAGTCGAGTGAGTGTGTTTTGCATTTCCACGTCATTGTTACTGTGTGATTTGTTCTCCATTCCCATTAATGCTTATTTATTCCTACATAGCAGTGCTACACATGGCAAGTCAGAGACCGCCACGGCTGCTGTCAATCTCAAGTAAATATCCCAGCCCGCCCGCGGCGCATGGTGACGGGGCCGTGCTTCCCTCCGTACTAACTGGCCTTCGTAGCTTAGCGCTCTGCCTTGTGGCCGCCCGGGGTGGGTGGATGGTCGAGGCTGTGGTGGGGGTGTCCTGTGCTTACCTGGTGGCAGGTGTTTGTCGGGATGACACTAACTCAGGGTCTCCGTGCATGCTGGAAATGGGGAGCATGCTCTACTAAAGAATCCGACTGTGGACGTGTGAGCCTGCAGTGACACAGCTACTGGTGGCCGGTAAGGTCTCGGGCAGGTGACAGGCCGGGAGAGCAAGTCGAGACCCCGGGCTTAGCTAGAGAGAAAGAACATTCCGTGGAGGCGTCTCACTGAACTGGAGATGTGCTCTCCGTGGAAAGGCTAACCGCCTCTGACGTATCCAATAACGCAGAGATGACTGTTCTTTTAACGTTGTCTCGTGCCGACAGCTCCCTTCTGTGTGTTAATTTTAGTCCGTTCTCATCCTGCGCTCAAAGAAAGAAGCTTTTTGTCTGAAGGGCAGGTAATTTTTCGCTAGAAGTAACACGGATCCTCTCATCTGGGTATTGACAGAGTTTGGAAAAGCTATCATCCTTGCAGCTGAAAAGACGGCCTGATGTTCTTGCTACGTTTGAAAAGTGACGAGGGTTAGTTTGAAGTTTTAAGTGTTGGAGATAATTTGGGAAACATGTCCAGGGCAGAAGATCTGGAGACGAGAGTTATCTCAGAAGGAGAGTCCCTGGGATGCCATTTTCATCCTTCTAAATGTTTTTTTTTTTTTTTTTTTTTTTTAATTTTCCTGCCGGTGTCACTCACGTTTTCCCTGCAGAGACGAGTCCCTGTCGGTGTCGGTGCCTCCTTGTCCGGAGACAAGGAAGTGGACTCACAGGTCTGGCTAGTTTCTTATAGGAACCTCAGATGACCACTGCCCCTCATGCCTTTGCGAACTGGGATGCGGATGCTTTGTTATTTTCTGTCCTGTCCACCATTTTTAAAACGTGGAAGCAAGGTGCTCTTAAAATTTAAGAAATGGATTTTTGACCCCAAATAGCCTTCTCCCTGAGCCACAGCTTTTTTTTTTTTTTAATGTTTATTTATTTTTGAGAGAGAGAGAGAGAGAACGTACACGAGAAGGGCAGAGAGAGAGAGAGGGAGACAGAGAAATTGAAGCTCTCAGCACAGAGCCTGACGCAGGGCTCGAACTCATGAGCTGACAGACCATGACATGCACTGAAGTCGGAGGCTGAACTGACTGAGCCACCCAGGTGCCCCGAGCCACAGCTTTTAACCTCAAAAGTGAAATATTTTCTTAATGATACAGCTGAAATCAGCATCAGCTACCTCAGTTGAGATGCAAAGTGATTTAAACATTAGTTCCTGTTTGAGTTCTTTTATTTAGTACTTTTCTCCCCATTGATGTCATTTTAGCCATTTGTAGAATAATTAAACTGAAATCAAAGTTGGGCCCCACATGAGATCGCAGACTTAGAAATAAAATCATTCCTGCTAAAATTCTTATCTCTAAAGGATGTCCTCAAGAGAGTAGAAAAAGATTACTTGAAAGCGAGAGATGAGAAGGGAGTACTTTGTATAAAAGGAAACAACTGGGAGATACTCTGAAAGAATGGAAACAAGGATGCAGAGTTTTGACCAAATGACATTACTTTCATTTTTTCATCTTAACGCCTATGGAGCAGTCAGTTCCCAAAAGTACGCTTGGCCAGAGGATCGGGGGACACAACTGTCACGGGTGGGAGTTGCCGATCGCCTGCGGTTTTGCGTTTGGTGATGGGGAGCTTCTGTCTTTCCTCCTCCTGGGCATCCAGCTTTCTTAAAAGTGACTGCCCTCATTTTTAAAAGGTGTTTTAATAGTTTCTTGAGGTGTCTTTGTGGTACAAGAAGTGAAGTTATATTTCTGTCAGCTCCGTGTTCGTCGGGTTCAAAACCCCTTTCTGATCGCGGCACGCCACATCCCCCTCCGGCTCTGCTGCCACTGGGCTGGTGTGTGTGTCTTCTCCGGGGGATGGGTTGTTGTTTTTCCCAGGAGTTTAATATGACTCCAGGCTGCCCCGGAGGCTTGGGACCAGAGGTCTTGAGCTCCTTCGATAGAATCTGATGCAGATCTGGATAGACGGGTGCCGCATAGTTTAATTCGTCTTTTCTCCACATCAGTCTGTCAGCCATGTCCCTCCATGGCTCATGTATCCATTCAGCCGGCAAGCTTTTGTAGCCCCCATCACCGCAGTCGCCGACACAGGAGGCCTGCTGGCACGGCACAGTGTGTGACAGTTAGGTAACACCGTCAGGCAGTGTGTGTTGATGTAGTACATGTATGGCATAAGTACTAATTCATAATTATTTAGGAGGCAGTGACCTAGCACATACCCATCAAAAAAAATTTTTTTTTTGTATAAATACATAAATGAGAGCAATCACTACGGGCTACGGTGGTCCAGGGAAGGTTGGCGCTTGCGCCGAATCTTGGAGGATGGGTATGATTTGGGTAGTCCGAAGTTTTATTTGACCATAGTTGAGAATGACTGGGAATAATCCCGTGTGTGTGCAGCTGACTGGTTTGAGTGGAAAGTAGGTAGCAGGACAATTTGGAGAAGGATCTGGAACATCTTAAACTCCAGCTACATGGTTCTGTTTGTTTCTTTTGAATATTTATTTACTTTTGAGAGCTCGCCAGGGGGGAGGGGCAGAGAGAGAATGGAGACAGAGGATCCTAAGTGGGCTCTGCACTGACAGGCTGTCAGCAGCGAGCCCGATGCGGGGCCTGAACTCACTGACCGTGAGATCATGACCTGAGCTGAAGTTGGAGGCTCAACTGACCGAGCCACCCAGGCGCCCCTACGTGGTTCTGGTAGAAGAGGAACCGTGGGCATCGTCCTGTGATTTTACTGACTCCACCCACCAAAGCTTCAGATACATATTTGGGAAAACAAAAGAGAGCTACGGTGTGAGGCTGTAAAAGACTAGTTTTTGTGTGCACTCTATCCTTCCGGTGGAGAATCCTAGAGGTCTCCTGCCTTTAAGCAATATTAAAAATGCTACTTACTGACTTTCATATTAAAAACTTCGGAAACTTAGAAACTCAGGATCGAGTGGCTATATATGTTAGAATGTGACCTAGAGGAAGCAAATGGTGACTCCGACCTTGCCTTTGCTTGGGTTGCATTCTGCCTCGGCTCTTCGAAAAGAGACTTGGGTCAGCGTAGCAGAGAAGCACTTTGAAACGTTGACTAAATCATAGCTCAGCTCACCTAGGAGGTTTGGATTGCACGGAAGATGTACACGGGGAAATAACTGACCTTTAGAACAGCGCTGCTCCAGTAGATCTTTCTGTAGTGAAGGAAATGCTCTACGCCTGTGCCGTCTGACTGGGCATCACTAGCCACTCACAGCTACTGAGCACTCGAAGTGTGGTTTTTGTGACCAAGGAACTGAATTTCAGAATTTCAGTTAAGTCAAAAAATTTAAGTTTCAGTAACAGTAACTGCACGCAGCTGGTGGCCAGTGTACTTGGACAGCACAGCTTTAGAATATTTGTGCCTGTTAGTGCTTAACTCTCAAGGTCATGGCAAGGATTAAGGTGAAATATGAAGGATTCTGAGTACTTAGCAGCTGGCCTGGACCATAGTATATACTCCGTATATAGCCCCTTTTCTATCACATTAAAACTTAGCAGTGATAAAACATGAGCTGTATGTTAGCAGAGATGTGTAACAATATAGATGAAGTGCTTTGAAGACCCACTGGTAATTACTGGCACTCGCCCTGCATAGTGTCTTCGGGACCATGACAAGTTCATGTTAGCTTAATCCTCAGAGAATCTGGTGGCCATCAGGATAGAGCCTGTTCTGTTTGTTTAACTGGGAGAGTTCGCTTATCTGCAAGCTTCTCAGAGGAAAGGGCTGGTGTGTACCTTTGCTCTGGCAGTGACATTGAGAAGCAAAACCTTTAATACGTCTGCTTTTTCTCCTTAGCTTGAAGGATGCCAATGATGTACCGATTCAGTGTGAAATCTCTCCTCTTATCTCCTATGCTGGAGAAGTAAGTCTGATTTTGCTTTTTCCCATTCTTTTAAAAGTAGGATTCTGATACTGTTTTTATCTTTTTAATGAGAAAAATGTTTATTTATTTTTGAAATCGAGAGCATTGCCCGAGTAGGGGAGGTGCAGAGAGAGGGGGGGACAGAGGATCTGAAGTGGGCTCTGTGCTGACAGCAGCAAGCCCGATGCGGGGCTCGAACTCACAAGCCGCCAGATCATGACCTGAGTTGAAGTCAGACACTTAACCGACTGAGCCGCCCGGGCGCCTGGATCCTTATACTGTTCTGCCCTGCTCATCCTGGGAGTAAGAAAAGAGGTTGCATCTGTCCCACGACTGGGTTAGTTCCCACAGATGGAATGTTTAATATTTAGTTCATTTCATTTACACATTGAAATGCAATGATCTTTCAGAAAAGTTGGCTCTGTTTTTTAGACAAGTTATCTAGCTTTTTATTTTTAATTGAAATATGGTTGACACCCGCTGTCGCGTTGTTTTCAGGAGCACAACTTGTGAGTCCACAAGTGTGTGCGTTCCGCTGTGCTCACAGGTGTAGCCGCCATCTGTCACCCTGCAGCACCACTGCAGGGCCATTGGCTGTGTCCCCTGTGCTGGAGCTTTCGTCCCTGTGACTTTTCCACGGCTGGGGGCCTCCACCTGCCGCTCCCCTTCACCCATCCCTTCCCCCCCGCCCCCCGCCACTGTCAGATTGTTTTCTGTATTTATGGGCTATCTGGCTTTTTAAAATGCAGTGTAATTTTTTCCCTCCAAGGGTTATTTTGTTCGTACACTTAGTACTCTCACTTTTAGGACTGGGGGATTTAGGGGTTCCTGCTCGTCTGATAGGAGATATTTTTTCTGGAGAGCCCTTGCTTCATTCCAGCATCAGATCCGAGATGGTCACGTTGCTAAGAAAGTGAGCTGTGTTGGCTGGTGAGGGTGGGAGGAATGACTAACGTCTTATTAACTTCAGAAATTATATAATCAGAGTAATTTTCCTTTCCTTGTTGTTTGTTTTATGCCTCTATAAATTGCTCTTTAACCCCAGTTTAAAAAGCATACTAAATAGATTTTTACCCACCTTTAAATTCTGCATCTCGCGGCGCCTGGGTGGCTTAGTTGGTTAAGTGCCTGACTTTGGCTCAGGTCATGATCTTGCGGTCTAGGAGTTCGAGCCCCGTGTCAGGCTCTGTGCTTTGGATTCTGTGTCTTCCTCTCTCTTTCTGCACCCGCACCCTCAAAAATAAATAAACAGTAAAGAAAAATATAAATTCTGCATCTCAACCCAACTTTTTGGCATTCATGCCTTAAATCTTCAGTATAGTCACCGTGTCCTACATCGTATGAGCGGCGCCTGCCAATTTTCTAACTATGTTTCATTTCAACCCTTCATTCAGGGAATAGAAAGTTATGTGGCAGATAAAGAATTCCATGCGCCTTTAATTATTGATGAGAACGGAGTCCACGAGCTGGTGAAGAACGGCCTATGAACTGGAAGCCACATTCTACCACAGTAAGAATAGCTTTTATTTTTGAGACCGACTGTGAGCTTCAGGGCCTCTCCTGGAAAAGTCACACGTGAATATCCACAGGGTTTCACGTCACTTGTCGAGCTCTCACAGCTCCTGCGTCGTCCCCAAGATGCAGATGACTGAACTGCAGAAAGCATTTTTATGATTCTCAGCCCATTGAAGGTCTTATTTATATTTTCAATTGTATACTTTGTTTTCCAAGCCAAGGAGGACATTGGTCAGCTGGGAAGCGTCCTACTGCTTGGGTGTAGGCGGGGTGCTCAGCACCACCATGCGTGCAGCTGGAGACACGTGTTTGCCAAGTTGTGCATAGTAATAGTGTGTCCTCATGTGTGTCGAGAGGTTTCTTTGGTACTCAAAGTCTGTTATTTTATCAAAAATTAAATTTTTTTAAGAAAATAATTGGACAGCCAAATAAACTTTTCTTCCTGTCTCTGAAGTTGTCATTTGTACCTTGAGGAAGTTATTCCACTAGGAAGATATGAAACTTGGGAGAAAACTTTGCGATAATGCAAAAAACCAAGCTGCCGCTTCTGGGAAATTGTAGCCTCGTGGTTTTTATTTTTATTTAAAAAAATTTTTTTAAATGTTTCATTTATTTCTGAGAGAGGGAGAGAGAGAAGAGAGACAGTGTGAGCAGGGGAGGGGCAGAGAGAGGAGGAGACACAGAATCTGAAACAGGCTCCAGGCTCTGAGCTGTCAGCACAGAGCCTGATGTGGGGCTCGAACCCACGAACCATGAGATCATGCCCTGAGCCGAAGTCGGAGGCTTAACCAACTGAGCCACCCAAGCGCCCCCATATTTTTAGTTTTTTGGGTTTTTTTTTGAGTTTATTTATTTTGAGAGAGAGAGAGAGCAGGGGAGGTGCAGAGAGGGGGAGAGAGAGGGTCCCAAGCAGGCTCCACGCTGTCAACCCAGAGTCCGACACGGGGCTCAGACTCACGAACCCATGAGATCGTGAACCTGAGCAGAAAATCGGGAGTCCGACACTTAAGTGACTGAGCCCCCAGACACCTCACAGTGTCTGTTTTTAAATGAATGTTTGTCTTTGGACTTTACCCTCCTGTCACTTTATACCAACAGCTCTGAACCAGAGACCGTTTGCTGCCAGCGAGGGGCCTTTGGTGGTGTCACCGCGGGGAGGGTGGGGTGGTGGCGCCGGCCTGGGGTGAGCTAGAGAGGCCAGTGATGCTGCTAGACACGCAGCCCACGGGGGCTCCTGCGGCCGAGGATGCTTGGCCCGACGGCAGCACAGTGAAGGCGGGGAAACCTGGCTTCACGTCACTGGCTCACACTCTTTTACCCAAATATGTGGTGGCACTTGGGAATTCAGAAGAACAGCCTTCTGGCCTTTCCCCAGGTGAGCGAATCACTAGCACGGCAGGATTTCTTTTCCATCTAGAGGATGAGCAAAAAGAGGTGGGTCCTTAAGATACGGGCCATAGCTCATTGGTCATTAGGAAGGGTTCTCAAGGAGCCTGGGTGGCTCAGTCGGTTACGTGTCTGACTTTGACTCGGGTTACATTATCTCATGGTTCCTGAGTTGGAGTCCCATGTTGGGCTCTGTATGGGCAGTGTGGAGTCTGCTTTGGGTTCTCTGTCTCCTTCCCTCTCTACCCCTCCCCCACCATCTCTCTCTTTCTCTCTCTGTCTCCTTTTCTCTCTCTCTCTCTCAAAAATAAATTTAAAAAAGGAAGCATTCTCTAGGTCTAAAATGGAGTTTGCATGAAAATCTTGAGCTTTATAAATGCGTTTTATGGAACTTTTAAATATTGACCGAAGCATAAAATTTAACATCTGGATAAATGAAAAAATTCCAAAAATTATGTCTCGAGAAGAAATTCGGAAGTTTTATCTTTCACTAACAAGTTGTCACAAGATGGAATGTTATAGGTGGGTCTTTTCTCTACAAGTAGAAGTTTTAAGGGTCACTTTTTAAAAGAAAGTATATAATACACATTTTTTAAAAAGTTTATTTGTTTTTGAGAAAGAGAGTGTGAGCAGGGGTGGGGCAGAGACAGAGGTAGACACAATCTGAAGAAGGCTCCAGGTTCCAAGCTGTCAGCACAGAGCCCTGTGTGGGGCTCAAACCTGAGCCGAAGTTGGACGCTTAACTGACTGAGCCAACCCAGGCGCCCTAGAAAGTACGTAATATTTATATTTATCCAAATGTATTTTTTTGAGCTAAGGTCTAGATAGTGTGTCTCGCATATTTTCTCTTTCCTCTCAGTAACAGCCCAGCTTTGCTCTTGTTATTCATTCCATTTCTCAGATTTGTGAGGTTTGAGTTCTCCATCAGAACGAGCTCCGAATGGACTGTGAGGCCAGAACTGCCCAGTGTTAGCACCTGAATGGTACGCTTCGTTTCCTTTTTCCTGGACTGTCACCTGCGGTTCCTCTCTCCCCATTGTTAGGCTCAGGTGGCTAACTCCAGGAAGGGGGGGGATGGGCAGGGTGGGGGTAGTGGCTTTACTGGAGAGCAGTGGCGGCTGAGGGACACCGGGTCCGGTGAGGGCACAGTGTCTGGGAGCTGCTGAGCGCGACATTACGCGGTGGCCACATTGTACAGCTTCATGAGTCCTTGGTAAATAATTGTCCTAATTCAGAAAATACAGAATTGGGTAAAATGGTTATAAAAATATAAATTAGAATCATTTGGCAACAGTGTGGTAGAATTTACATGTGAGTTAATATCACTTTGAGATTTGTTGAAATCATCCTTGCAAATGTGTTAACAGATGACCATCGGGGAGAGGGGGGGAAATGGTGGGGAGAGGGAGAGAGGCAAACCATGAGAGACTCTTGAATGCTGAGAACAAACTAAGGACTGATGGGTGGGGGCGAGGGGGGAGATGGGCATGCAGGAGGGCATTTGTGGGGATGAGCCCTGGGTTTTATATGGAAACCAACTTGACAATAAACTATTTGTAAAAAAAAAATTACTGATAGTCACAAATGAACATATAAGCCTAATAGGCTGAGTCATTTGAATATTTGATTTTTGTTCCTCAGTTTCCCTCTTGCTTTTTGAAACTGATGCAGTTTTGATATCTAAAAAGGAATTACTAGGGACATCTACAGGGTGAACATCTAAAGATGAACAAAAAGAATTTTATTTTCAATTCTAGCCCTTCTTTTCCCCAGTTTGGGCTGTTATTGGTAACAGTGTGGGTTTATTGCTAACCCTGGCTTACTGTTTGCAGTGTTTCCTCTTAGTGATTCATCATGGGACAGTCAGATCTCCGCTATCCAGGTAAAACGAGGCCAGGACAAATGCATAATCCAAGAGAGTGACTAAGACACAGGTCATTCAGTTGGCTTGGAAGTCTGGTTTTCTACTGGCCAAGACTGATGCTTTTGCAGTTCGTGGCCCCGCAGGGAGCCCCAGTGTGGGGAAGGCATGTTGGAAAGTGATGGAGTAAGTCAGCCAGTGAGGGCTGAGTGCCCGTCATGTGCCCAGCACCTACCTGGGATGAAAAGCACAGCGCCCTCTCCTTACCTGCCTTGCGTTCTGGTTCAGGGAGTAAAAGTAACCCCCTTAACTAACGCAAAGATGACTTAGTGCTAGAATGCAAGGAAGCAAGGTCTGTGGAAGGTAAAGGTCATCATTATGAACTGGAGTTTGGTACGACACAACTTCTCAACGACGAACCCTGTCATTTTGAGAGAAGGGTTATTCCTTTCTCAAATTATGGCCCGAAGTTTGTGTTCCAACAAGAAAACGTACCTTAATAATTCTAACATGTCTTACAAAAAACCAGTGAGGTTTTTATTAATCAGAACCATGTTTCGCTCATAGCAAGCTCTCAGATAATTTAACTCTGATTCTTTTGGATTTAGTTGCCTTAAAATCAAATGTGTGTTGTGATTCGATATGGATTATTAATGGGAGTTTGGTGACTGGGGAGGAGGGGCTACATAGGCACATCACCTTGCCAGGTGATGTCCAAGTTGTAGGGTTAGTGAGCAGACGTGTAACAGTGACTTTCCGAGTGTGGTCCCCTGACCGGGTACATCAGTCTCCCCTGGAAACTTGGTAGAAACACACATTCTCAGAATCACTGTGTTATGCATTTGTGGGTGGGGCTTGGAAGCTTCTGTTCTGACGAGCCCTTGGGGTGATTCTGATGCACCCCAGAGTTTGGGAACCACTGCTCTAAGCAGGCTAACCGAAAAGTCAGGGGCAGTACCAAAAAGAAGATACCCTAGGGGGAAACAGGCCAGTGTGTGTAGAGCAAGAAAAGGGGAAGCCAGAAACCAACTAGATCTGTCTCATGTGAGCTTTATTCTTTAAAAGATGGAGGAGACAGTAGCCATGGTGGTAAGAGTAGAAGATGGAGCTGGAAAGAACTGACCAGGATGCTTGTAATTGCTAGGACAATGGTTCTCAACCCTGTGCAACCCTCTGGATCGCTTGGAGAGATTAAAAAAAAATACTCCATTTCTAGAGATTGTGATTCTCAGTCTGGTGGAAGGCCTGGGCACCTAATTTATGAAAAAACACTAGATGATTCTAGAGGGCATCCAGGAGGGAGAATCACTGACTTGCGGGTAGAGACTTAGTTCAGACGTCGGCAGTGAAGTTGAGGAGAACAAGAGTTTGGATGTGTTCTGGGTTTGAGAAATCAGACAAGGGAGGCCCCAAGTGAAGAACATATCTCTTGAGAAGCACAGCACAAATGGGAAAGGTGGGCGGAGCCAGGGAACACGCATTCTGGGGATGATTTCCATTTGCAAGTACCTCACACTGCTAGAAAGAACCATCCCCACATCAGACTCTTCCTGAATTTTATCCCTCTCCAATTCATAGCATTTCCTAAAGCTAGAGTGAGGGTGGTAGGGGAAAAGAGAAAGTTAGGCAATAATTTGGTTTAAAAATAGGAGTTTTAGGGGCGCCTGGGTGGCTCAGTCAGTTGAGCGTCTGGCTCTTGATTTTGGCCCAGTTCATGATGTCACGGTCATGGGATCGAGCCCCGCACTGGGCTCAGCGCTGATCTTAGAACCTGCTTGAGATTCCCTCTTCCCTTCCCTCTGCCACTCTGCCCCGCTCACTCACTCTCTCTAAAATAAAAATAAATAAAAAATAGGAGTTTAGTTGGAACGAGAAATATAAAGTAAAATAATGTGGTCAGGTGATGACATTATGGTTGGGTTTTTCTTTATTTCACAAATTTTTTGATGGTGCTTTCTTAGCAATTTTATGATAAAAAGTTTTATCAAGTCTCAAAGGATAAATAAACCAAGGGTCTTCACATTAACCAGTTAGGTGCTGCTGTTAGAGAACTTGGAGGTAACATTGGCTGTGGTGAAGTCCGTGGAATATAGACATGCCTTCAGATAATGGAATGTGGACAGTGCACCATTGGAGTGTCAGGCAACGTGGCTTCATATGCTGTTATCTCTGACCTCGGCCATTACTTGGAGCTTCCTCACTGGCGCTGTATAATAATGTTTTAATTTGGAGGGACGTATGAAGCAATCGGTTGGTATGAATTGAAGGTAATGCGCTTTGAGAGAAAGCCTTTCTGCGAGAACAGGAGTCCTCTGGTGGAGTATATGAATGCAGTTTTCGATTACTCTCCCAAAGACGAAGGGCTCGGAGGCTTGCCAAAAGCTCAGTGAGTCAGCGGTGACACCAAATATGTTTATATAGACATAGTGTTTTCAAAGCTCTGAACCAAGTTAGAAGACGACGTAAGGACAGAAAGTCTATTATTATCATTGAGTGACTCACTGTTTCCACATCAGCTCTCTCATTTCTACCTCAGTGATTCTGCTTCTCAGGAAGTGTTCCTTCTCAGATTTCTTTCTAGTGGGCAAAGTGTTTTGTTTTGTTTTGCTTGTTTTTGTTTTGTTTTACAGAATGATGCATAGAACTCGTGCGTATTCTATACAGCAAGATATAGACTAACATAGGTGATGTGTATGAGATTGAAATGAGACTTGATAAATTGCCTTTTAGAGTTTAAAATTTTTCTGAATGCATATACTTCTAAAAGGTCTGAAATTGGACAAAAAGATTATTATTGCTATCATTTTTTAAAATTTTTACTGAAATTGTAGTTAGTTCACCTAAGGTGAAATGTTGGTTTCAGGAGGGGAATTCAGTGATTCATCACTTATGTATGGAACCCAGGACTCCATTTGGCCCATCCCCCACCCACCTCCCCTTGAGCATCCCTCAGTTTGTTCTCTGTATGTAAGAGTCTCTTATGGTTTGTTTCTCTCTGTCTTCTTTTTTTTTCCGTTTCCCATATGTTCATCTGTTTGTTAAACTCCACATATGAGTGAAATCATGTGGTATTTGTCTTTCTCTGACTCCACTTAATTTTCCTTAGCATAATACACTCTAGCTTCATCCACATTGTTGCAAATGGCAAGATTTCATTCCTTTTGATGGCTGAGTAATATTCCGTGTGTGTGTGTGTGCGCACGCGTGTGCGAGAGCGCGCGCATGCGTGCATACACGTACATACCATATCTTTATCCATGAATCAGATGATGGACATTTGGGCCCTCTCCATAGTTTGGCTATTGTTGATAATGCTGCTATAAACATTGGGCTGCATGTATCGCTTTGAATCTATATTTTTATATCCTTTGGGTCAATATCTAGCAGTGCAACTGCTAAGATTGTAGGGTAATTCTACTTTTAAACCTTTGAGGGACCTCCATATTGTTTTCTAGTGTGACGGTACCAGTTTTCATTCCTACCAAGCCTGCAAGAGGGTTTCCCTTCCTCTGCGTCGTTATCAACACCTGTTGTTTCTTGTGTTGTTAATTGTAGCCATTCTGACAGGTGTGAGGTAGCTCATCGTGGTTTTGATTTGTATTTCCCTGATGAGTGACGTTGAGCAGTTTTTTGTGTGTCTGTTAGCCATCTGGATATCTTTGGAAAAGTGCCTATCCATGTCTTCTGCCCATTTCTTCACTGGATTATTTGTTTTTGGGGTGTTGAGTGTGATAAATTCTTTATAGATTTTGGATGCTAGCCCTTTATTCGATATGTCACTTGCGAATATCTTCTCCCATTCCATAGGCTGCCTTTTAGTTTTATTGATCGTTTCCTTCACTGTGCAGAAGCTTTTATCTTGGTGAAGTCCCAGTAGTTCATTTTTGCTTGTTTTTTCTTGCCTCCAGAGATGTGTCTAGTAAGTTGCTACGGCTGAGGTCACAGAGGTTACTGCCTGTGTTCTCCTCTAGGATTTTGATGGTTTCCTGTCTCACATTTAGGACTTTGTTCCATTTTGAATTTATTTTCGTGTATATGGTGTAACAAATTGGTCCAGGTTCATTCTTCTGAATGTCGCTGTTCAGTTTTCCCAACACCATTTGAAGAGACTGTCTCTTTTCCATTGGATGCTCTTTCCTGCTTTGTTAAAGATTAGTTGACCACATAGTTGTGGGTCCATTTTTGGATTTTCTATTCTGTTCCATTGATCTGTGTGTGTGTTTGTGCCAGTATCATATTGTCCTGATGATTACAGCTTTGTAATACAGCTTGAAATCCGTACTTGTGATAACCCCAGGTTTGCTTTTCTTTTTCAGGATTGCTTTGGCTATTCGGGGTCTTTCGTGGCTCCATCCAAATTTTAGGTTGTTTGTTCCTCGCTCTGTGAAAGATGCTGGTGGTATTTTGATGGGCATTGTGACAAAGAGATTAAATCTCATGAACATACCATAGTGAGCATCAAGTAAGGATAACTGTGGCTAACATCTTACGGTGGCACTTTACCATGTGCCAGGCATTGCTTAGAACACTTCATCTG